AGGCGGCTTTTTTCAGCCCAAAAAGTGGGCTGAAAAACTAGGCTTATACTCGAGTATATACAGTAAGTTGATTATGGCCAAATCATAGAGTCAAGGCATACGACTGAACATCCATTGGGTGGCCTATTTCTTTCCACTGTAGGGTTCTATTACAATAAGTCAACAGATGATGATGAAATACCTGGATGTTTCCATCAACTTTGGCACCATTGGGCCAAGTGTGCTGTTATGCAAGCTTCTCAGGCCCGTAACAAATCTGTAGAACAAGTTGGCTCTTTTATGGTTCTGCTGAGAGACTGACAGTTTTTTTAATTCTTGAAGACTTTTCAGAACGGCATCGCCATGCCTGAGAATTTTGGCCTCCACCTTCTCCAAAGACAGTTCTCTCTTTATCAGGCCAGTAACTGGGGGGAGAAGAAAAAAAAAAGCATCTTTCAAATTGATACCATTATGTCACTGCCAAGCTCAATGGATAGTTGAACAACAAGTAGTTGTTTTGTGCTATTTCAAGAGTCGGCTTTGTCTGAGTGGAATTGCAGGTCCTTCCAACTGTAACCACTCATGCTCCCCCTAAAGATACTCCTACAAGTTGAAGGATCCTCTGGAATGATGTGAAATATGGATGCCTCTGCTGCATACAGGGAATTAGCAAAGTCTAGATACCTAACTTTGTTCCACTAATGCTTAGCCAGCATGAGGTACAACAGCTATTAACTTACTGCAGTACAAGTAGTTCTCAATGTATGACCATAATTGAGCCTAAAATTTCTGTTGTTAAGTGAGACATATATTAAGCCCCACTTTACGACCTTTATTGCCATAGTTGTTAAGTGAATCATTGTAGTTGTTAAGTTAGTAACACGATTTTTAAGTGATCTGGTTTCCCCATTGACTTTGCTGAGCAGAAGGTTGTAAAATGGAATCACATAGCAATAGCAATAGCAGTTAGACTTATATACCGCTTCATAGGGTTTTCAGCCCTCTCTAAGCGGTTTACAGAGTCAGCATATTGCCCCCA